ACCGTTATATATTAACTTAGTAGACACTTGCAACCACCAGAATAGTCTGGCTTTTTAAATATATTTATAAAATTGTTTAAAGAATATTTTCTCAAAATTACAGCCTTGTAAAAGCAAGTTATGAATTGCTATCCCCATAACAACTTTATTATGGGTTGGCACGTACTTGCAACCGACAAAATCGACTGTCAATTTTTTTTTACCTTTAAACATATGTAAATTAAAACATATTAAAATTTTAGCCTTGTAAAAGCAGATTTTTTTTACTATTTTTTTAACATTTTCAAAAATTTAGGGGATGATGACGCAACCGCGAGATGCCTGCCAGAACGGTATTTTCTTAGTTAACCAATACTAAAACATTATTTTACAAATTTCTAGCCTTGTGTCAAACAAGTTACTCGGATTGACCGCTAGCTCTCCTACTATAACAAGTTATATTGCGGTTAAAGATTTCTATACAATATGAATTGAATGACTGGCATTAAAGCAGATAGTGAGGGTGTTTGTTTGTGGCAGACAAGTGTACTTGGTTATTTAAGCTACCTTTGTAAGTGTGTTGGTTATTACGTTAAATAATGTTCCATTGGCGTAGCTAGGGATTTTCCTAGGGCTATATATATAAAATAACTAGTTCCTCATCTTGCATGCATAATGAAAAATCAGTTTTTATGAAACCTACTTCTCCTGATGAAATAAAACGTACTATTATGTCGTTAAAAAATACAAATAGCACCGGATACGATGAAATCAGCACAAAAGTTCTTAAATATGTAAGCAACTTAATTGCACCTGTACTATGTCATATTATTAACTTATGCATTGAATACGGGATATTTCCAGAAAAATTGAAAATTACTCTAGTAAAACCCCTGTTTAAAAAAAAGGACACCGAGGACTTGGCCTGCTATCGACCCATAGCTCTGATTTCAGTTTTTGCTAAGGTATTTGAAAAAATCATATATATTAGACTATGACTTTTTTGAAAAATATATTTTAGTGGACGAACAAATGGGATTCCGTACTGGTAAATCAATAAATTTAGCGATTTATAAATTTTTAGATACTGTTATTAAAAATATTAATAAAAGACGTCTAGTAAGTGCTTTATATATGGATCTTACGAAAGCATTTGACCTTGTCGAACATAATTTGCTTCTTCACAAACTAGAGCAATATGGTGTGAGAGGTAATGTTCTTAAGTTGATAACATCATACCTAACCAACCGAAGACAGACAACACAGATCACTCGATTGTGTATCAAGCGCAAAGAGGAAATAAATTATGTATCTGAAATTCAGTGCGTCGAAAGAGGTGTGCCTCAGGGAACTGTATTGGGACCTCTGTTCTTTTTAGCCTTTATAAATGATCTCCCAAAATCAATAAATGAGAAACTAATACTGTTTGCTGATGACAGTACGGCTATTTTTGTTAGCAATGAAATCAATAGCTTAATACATAATATTAATGACTCGCTAAATAAAGTTATCACTTGGTTAAATTCTAATAAGCTATGCATGAATATTGACAAAACTAACTATATGACATTTTCTAATACACATACTTATTCTAATGATGACTACGACATTTATTACAGAAATAAAAAAATCGACAAAGTAGAGGCTACGAAATTCTTAGGAATCTATATTGACAATAAGCTAAACTGGAAAAGTCATGTTGATCACGTATGCAGTCGTATTAATAAATTTTCATATGCACTATACCGTTTGAGTAAAATTGTAAACCAACCAACACTGATAATTGCCTACCATAGTCATGTTGAATCCATATTAAGATATGGTATTATATTTTGGGGTAATTCAACTGAGAGATATACTGTATTTAAATCTCAAAAAAAATGCATAAGAGCGATTTGTAAATTAAAATATAGGGACAGTTGTCAGCAACACTTTGCAAACCTTAACATAATGACAGTACCATCTCTGTATATTTATGAAGTGGTAGTCTTTGTGAAAGCAAACATAAGCATGTTTCAACATCTTAGAAGTATAAGACATAAAAACGATATTTGCTTTCCCGCCAGTAGGACTGCCCTTTACAATAAAAGTATATTTGGTATGGCACCGCGACTATACAATAAATTACCAGAATGTTTAAAAGAAATATCCAATATCCAAACATTTAAAATGAGAGTTAAGAAACTACTTGTGGAAAAAGCTTACTATACACTAGAAAAATATATGACGGATAAATTTTAAATTAATATTGTAGTTCATCTGTATTCCTAATTTGTTATTTTATTTGAATGACCGATCTTGTAATTGACCTATAATTTAATTTGACATAATTTGTAATTTGACATTATCTTCATTTTGACATGTGTTCTAATTTGACATTACGGTAACATTTTTGTATACACGCCTGACATATTATTATTATTTTTCTTTTATTTGATTAACTGCGTTTATGCTTAAAAGTTTGACTGGAAACGTTTCCCTGGTTTTCAATTAAATTCCGTTTTCAAACAAATTAATTAACATACATCAAATTAATATTTAAAAAAAAAGACTTCGAGGCATGTTAAAAAAAACTTTATAATGTATAAATGAATATCTGATGGATAAGGACTTATCGAGTAATATATAAATATGATTACGATGAATGATATTTAATATTGTGATGACTTTTGAATTTAAATTTATTGTAATTGTTATTTTTTTTTTTATGTAGTATAATAATGTGTATCTGATGGATAAGGATTAAGTAAATGAAAAGAAGTTTAATTAAGATTACTAACAATTATTATTATGATGACATTTTATTTTGAATTGTAATTTAATTTTAATATTTTACCGTTATTAATTCTATATTTGTATGCCTGATGGCTGGTCGTAGTTGGACTGTATATTCAAGCATAATAACCATGTATTACCTATGTACCACAAATAGATAAATAAATGAAATGAAATAAATGAAATGAAATATAAAACTCAAAGGTGACTGACTAACATAGTGATCTATCAACGCACAGCCCAAACCACTGAACGGATCGGGCTGAAATTTGACATGCAGGTAGATGTTATGACGTAGGCATGCTCTAAAAAAGGATTTTGATCAATTCTGTCCCCAAGGGGATAAAATAGGGAATGAAAGTTTGTATGAAACTTTGTCAAATTTAAATCGATCAGGCTGGCACTTTGCATGCATGTATAAGAAGAATTATAGATGAATGTCATTGTGTATAATACAAGCCTGAGAACAAAAACTGTAGTCTACACTTCAGCTCTACACTGAAGCGAAGCGACGGCGGGCTGCTACTGAAAATGACTCTTCTTATAATTATAAAAAGAACTAAAAATGGTATATTGGCTTTTTATAAACTCCTATTGACATCACGTCACTCAATTGTTTTGCCTTCCCGGAACCTCTCCACTAACATTTGAAATTTATGGTATGGTATTAAAGTTCAAATGGAATCTTAAGTATTTTTACGAATCGTTTGTATGGGAGTATAGAAAAGTGTTGTTTTTGGACTTTTTCAGGCATTTTTTTAATTTTTCTCTGCGTAAGAACCATCCTCGTAGGTACTTCAAGGAATATTCTAAAAAAAGAATTATCAAAATCAGTTCAGCTGTTCTCGAGATTTGCGCTTAGCAACATATTCAACGATTCATTTTTATATTATAGAAGATTAATTTATAAGCTATAAAGAAATTTATCAACACTCGAAATTCAGATGATCTTGCATGCACATCTTAGCTTAGTCGAGGCCTCCAAAACTTTATCCGCCTTATTACAAAACGTATACTACCAACCTGGACTAAAAATTGATGTTGTCACTATTGTTTGCAAAAAGAAGACAGAAAGAAACTACATTAGATTTAAACTAACTTTGATTAACATGGTATATATTTATTTTGAATGTGTTTGTTTATTTGATAGTAGCGCTTGGTATTGGCTGCAATTGCAGTCGTGATCACCCACCCATCCGTCAATCACACTAATATTATAAAGGCGAAAGTTTGTGAGTATGTGAGTGTGTATGTTTGTTACTTCTTCACGTCTAAACGGCTGGAGCGATATTAATAAAATTTGGTATGAAGTTAGCTGACACCCTAGATTAACACATAGGCTACTTTTATCCCGAAAAAATGTTAGGTTCCAGAGGGATTTTTAAGAAACTAAGTCAACGCAGACGAAGTCGCGGGCGATCTCTAGTAGACCATAAATTTATTTGGGGAACACACCTTACAGAAGTTCACAATGAAATACCAGAGTACCTTTTAGCGATGATGTATTTTTGGCAGTAAGTAAGCTTCCGAGAAGCTCGATGGCGCGGCTGCAATTGTTGAAGTTAAGCAACTTTCGCAGTGGTCGATAATCGGATGAGTGGCCAACAATCTTCTATCTTGAGTTCCTCTGTGCTTCGGAAGGCACGTTAAGCCGTTGGTCGTTCGTTAGCACTCGCTAATCCGTACTGGGCCCGCGTGGGCGGCCATGACCCAATCTCCCTATTCCACCCATAGGGAAGGCCTGTCCCAGCAGTGGGGACATTAATAGGCTGATGATGATGATGAAGAAGGTTCCAGATCTTCTCGGGGTAGAGAATAGAGTCAGGGTAGGCAACGGGGCGAGTGCTAGCTTTGATATCGCAAGAATCTATAAGCTATGAGGGCTTCGCTTAATTACCGTCAGGACATAAGCTCGTTTGCCACACAGAAATAGATGTTTGACGACCTCCGTGGTCGAGTGGTTTGTACGCCGGGTTTCATGGTGTCGCCGACTCGAGAGGTCCCGAGTTCGAATCCCGGTGGGGGCAGATGTTTGTGTGATGAATACGAGCATTTGTACTCCAGTCATGGATGTTTAATATGTATTTCTATATAAATATACTTATATATGTACAGTACATGTATTCTATCCGTTACCCTAGCATCTCATAACACAATCCTTACAGTGCTTACTTTGGGGCTAGGCTAATTGGTGTGAGTGTCGGAAATATTTATTTATTTATTTATTATTTATGTTTTGTTCGCAGGGTCTCCTGAAATGGGTGTCCTCTCTGAACGAGCAGTTCGGCAACATGTACATAAACTTCGGCTCGCCGCTGTCAGGTCGGGAGCTGCTGCGGTTACCGCGCGGGGCCCGCACGGCCGAGGCGCTGAAGCCGCCCGATCTGCAGGAGCTGACACCGGACCAGTTCGCGCAGGTGTGTGTTTAACTTCAATCTTTATCCGTACTAATAGGGGTGATGACGGAGTACGGTAAACGAAATTCTATTTAGTCCGTCAGTTAGATGATCAAAAAATAATGGACACGTATTTTTTCTTTGGGCAATCGACCGAAAAATGACAAAGTTATAGCGCGTCAAAGTTTGGGAGTGGGGGCTCGTGACGTCACTTTTTAGTGAATTTTCACTTAAAAGTGTATTCGAACGTGACGTAATGCGACTTTTCAAATCTATATATCTCTGCAATGTTTATATTATGTGAAAAAAGAAAAAATACGTGTCCAATACTTTTTGATAATATACCTGATAAACGATAAAAAAAAATGTCATCATCCCTATTTTGTAAATGCGAAAATGTGCCTGTTTACCTCTTCACTGTTTATGAGTAAAGAGAATCGATTAAGATGAGATTTGGCAAATGAATACTCGTAGTTTGAATCTCGGGGAAGGACATGGGATAGGGTTTTTCCCCGAAATTATCATTTAAAAGCGTGGAATAGGGATGATGACAAATTTTTTTTTCTTCGTTTATCAGGTAGATTATCAAAAAGTATTGGACACGTATTTTTTTTTTCACATAATATAAATATGTCAGAGATATATTGATTCGAAAAGTCGCATGACGTCACGTTTGAGTACACTTATAAGTGAAAATTCACTCAAAAGTGACGTCACGAGCCCCTACTCCCAAACTGACGCGCTATAACGTTGTCATTTTTTGGTTGATTGCCCAAAGAAAAAATACTTGTCCATTATTTTTTGATCATCTAACTGACGTACTAAATAGAATTTCGTTTACTCTACCCCGTCATCAGCCCTATTGGTGGGCGGAAGTTTGTACGGAAAGCCATTTTTCCAACGCAGACGAAGTGGCAAATACTCACTAGTATTGTTAATGTGAAAATGTGTCTGTTTCTCTATTATCTGTTACACTGAAACTGTTGAACCGAGTTTGATGAAATTTGGTATATAGATCATTTGAGTCTTGGAAAGAAAATTCAGCCGCCATATTTTTTGTTTTTAATTATGTGTTTGTAAGCTGTTATTATTATTGTTTTTGTGTAAGCCAGGGGTGCTCAAACGGTTACGAATATCTATATATGCTACGGTACACCCTAGGTAGGTGGGGTGTATCGTGTATGTACGACAACCCTGCATCACACATACTTGCAGCCTTTCAGAGTCGATCGTAAGTAGTCTAAAAATTTTGAGGTAGATCGCCAGCAGTTCAAGTTTGAGCACCACTGGTGTAAGCGATATGGCTAAATGGCTGAAACAAATGAATTGAAATGAATAAAAATTGTATGCCATTTCATAGTATCGTTTTGGGGTAGATCCGCAGCGTGGCCTCGCGGGTAGTGTCGGGGCAGCAGCAGGCAGCGCTGCTCACCTGCTCCCATCTCCTGGCGCTCGTCATCACGCAAGCGTTCATACTGAGGACTGCCCCCAGCAGGGAACGAGTGCTGGACTCACTGCGCTGCTACACGCGAGTATGCACACGCTATACTGTGTACTGTAGGACTGATGCTTCATATGACGAGCTGCCCCCAGCAGGGAACGAGTGCTGGACTCACTGCGCTGCTACACGCGAGTATGCACACGCTATACTGTGTACTGTAGGACTGATGCTTCATATGACGAGCTGCCCCCAGCAGGGAACGAGTGCTGGACTCACTGCGCTGCTACACGCGAGTATGCACACGCTATACTGTGTACTGTAGGACTGATGCTTCATATGACGAGCTGCCCCCAGCAGGGAACGAGTGCTGGACTCACTGCGCTGCTACACGCGAGTATGCACACGCTATACTGTGTACTGTAGGACTGATGCTTCATATGACGAGCTGCCCCCAGCAGGGAACGAGTGCTGGACTCACTGCACTTATACATTACATCCTGCATTTTAGGATATATTAACAGATTGTGTCCATGTCAACTTTTGCGTTCATTTGAAATTTCGAACTTATCGCTGCATTATACAATCTTTAAATTGACGGCGAACTCGCTGATACCAGTTCTTCTGGGGTCCTTCTGCCCTCGAAGGTGGAGCGGGTCCTTCTACCCTCGAAGGTGGAGCGGGTCCTTCAACCCTCGAAGGTGGAGCGGGTCCATCAACCCTCGAAGGTGGAGCGGGTCCTTCAACCCTTGAAGGTGGAGCGGGTCCTTCAACCCTCGAAGGTGGAGCGGGTCCTTCAACCCTCGAAGGTGGAGCGGGTCCATCAACCCTCGAAGGTGGAGCGGGTCCTTCAACCCTTGAAGGTGGAGCGGGTCCTTCAACCCTCGAAGGTGGAGCGGGTCCTTCAACCCTCGAAGGTGGAGCGGGTCCTTCAACCCTCGAAGGTGGAGCGGGTCCATCAACCCTCGAAGGTGGAGCGGGTCCTTCAACCCTTGAAGGCGGAGCGGGTCCTTCAACCCTCGAAGGTGGAGCGGGTCCTTCAACCCTCGAAGGTGGAGCGGGTCCTTCAACCCTTGAAGGTGGAGCGGGTCCTTCAACCCTCGAAGGTGGAGCGGGTCCTTCAACCCTCGAAGGTGGAGCGGGTCCATCAACCCTCGAAGGAGGAGCGGGTCCTTCAACCCTCGAAGGTGGAGCGGGTCCATCAACCCTCGAAGGTGGAACGGGTCCTGCACTCGAAGGTGGAGCGGGTCCTTCTACCCTCGAAGGTGGAGCGGGTCCATCAACCCTCGAAGGTGGGCGGGTCCTTCAACCCTCGAAGGTGGAGCGGGTCCTTCAACCCTTGAAGGTGGAGCGGGTCCTTCAACCCTCGAAGGTGGAGCGGGTCCTTCAACCCTCGAAGGTGGAGCGGGTCCTTCAACCCTTGAAGGTGGAGCGGGTCCTTCAACCCTCGAAGGTGGAGCGGGTCCTTCAACCCTCGAAGGTGGAGCGGGTCCATCAACCCTCGAAGGTGGAGCGGGTCCTTCAACCCTCGAAGGTGGAGCGGGTCCATCAACCCTCGAAGGTGGAACGGGTCCTGCACTCGAAGGTGGAGCGGGTCCTTCTACCCTGGAAGGTGGAGCGGGTCCATCAACCCTCGAAGGTGGAGCGGGTCCTTCAACCCTTGAAGGTGGAGCGGGTCCTTCAACCCTCGAAGGTGGAGCGGGTCCTTCAACCCTCGAAGGTGGAGCGGGTCCATCAACCCTCGAAGGTGGAGCGGGTCCTTCAACCCTCGAAGGTGGAGCGGGTCCATCAACCCTCGAAGGTGGAACGGGTCCTGCACTCGAAGGTGGAGCGGGTCCTTCTACCCTCGAAGGTGGAGCGGGTCCATCAACCCTCGAAGGTGGAGCGGGTCCTTCAACCCTTGAAGGTGGAGCGGGTCCTTCAACCCTTGAAGGTGGAGCGGGTCCTTCAACCCTCGAAGGTGGAGCGGGTCCTTCAACCCTCGAAGGTGGAGCGGGTCCTTCAACCCTCGAAGGTGGAGCGGGTCCTTCAACCCTCGAAGGTGGAGCGGGTCCTTCAACCCTCGAAGGTGGAGCGGGTCCTTCAACCCTCGAAGGTGGAGCGGGTCCATCAACCCTCGAAGGTGGAGCGGGTCCTTCAACCCTCGAAGGTGGAGCGGGTCCTTCAACCCTTGAAGGTGGAGCGGGTCCATCAACCCTCGAAGGTGGAGCGGGTCCATCAACCCTCGAAGGTGGAGCGGGTCCTTCAACCCTCGAAGGTGGAGCGGGTCCTTCAACCCTTGAAGGTGGAGCGGGTCCTTCAACCCTCGAAGGTGGAGCGGGTCCTTCAACCCTCGAAGGTGGAGCGGGTCCATCAACCCTCGAAGGTGGAGCGGGTCCTTCAACCCTCGAAGGTGGAGCGGGTCCATCAACCCTCGAAGGTGGAACGGGTCCTGCACTCGAAGGTGGAGCGGGTCCTTCTACCCTCGAAGGTGGAGCGGGTCCATCAACCCTCGAAGGTGGAGCGGGTCCTTCAACCCTCGAAGGTGGAGCGGGTCCTTCAACCCTTGAAGGTGGAGCGGGTCCTTCAACCCTCGAAGGTGGAGCGGGTCCTTCAACCCTCGAAGGTGGAGCGGGTCCATCAACCCTCGAAGGTGGAACGGGTCCTGCACTCGAAGGTGGAGCGGGTCCTTCTACCCTCGAAGGTGGAGCGGGTCCATCAACCCTCGAAGGTGGAGCGGGTCCTTCAACCCTCGAAGGTGGAGCGGGTCCTTCAACCCTTGAAGGTGGAGCGGGTCCTTCAACCCTCGAAGGTGGAGCGGGTCCTTCAACCCTCGAAGGTGGAGCGGGTCCTTCAACCCTTGAAGGTGGAGCGGGTCCTTCAACCCTCGAAGGTGGAGCGGGTCCTTCAACCCTCGAAGGTGGAGCGGGTCCATCAACCCTCGAAGGTGGAGCGGGTCCTTCAACCCTCGAAGGTGGAGCGGGTCCATCAACCCTCGAAGGTGGAACGGGTCCTGCACTCGAAGGTGGAGCGGGTCCTTCTACCCTGGAAGGTGGAGCGGGTCCATCAACCCTCGAAGGTGGAGCGGGTCCTTCAACCCTCGAAGGTGGAGCGGGTCCTTCAACCCTTGAAGGTGGAGCGGGTCCATCAACCCTCGAAGGTGGAGCGGGTCCATCAACCCTCGAAGGTGGAGCGGGTCCTTCAACCCTCGAAGGTGGAGCGGGTCCATCAACCCTCGAAGGTGGAACGGGTCCTGCACTCGAAGGTGGAGCGGGTCCTTCTACCCTGGAAGGTGGAGCGGGTCCATCAACCCTCGAAGGTGGAGCGGGTCCTTCAACCCTTGAAGGTGGAGCGGGTCCTTCAACCCTCGAAGGTGGAGCGGGTCCTTCAACCCTCGAAGGTGGAGCGGGTCCTTCAACCCTCGAAGGTGGAGCGGGTCCATCAACCCTCGAAGGTGGAGCGGGTCCATCAACCCTCGAAGGTGGAACGGGTCCTGCACTCGAAGGTGGAGCGGGTCCTTCTACCCTCGAAGGTGGAGCGGGTCCATCAACCCTCGAAGGTGGAGCGGGTCCTTCAACCCTTGAAGGTGGAGCGGGTCCTTCAACCCTTGAAGGTGGAGCGGGTCCTTCAACCCTCGAAGGTGGAGCGGGTCCTTCAACCCTCGAAGGTGGAGCGGGTCCTTCAACCCTCGAAGGTGGAGCGGGTCCTTCAACCCTCGAAGGTGGAGCGGGTCCTTCAACCCTCGAAGGTGGAGCGGGTCCATCAACCCTCGAAGGTGGAGCGGGTCCTTCAACCCTCGAAGGTGGAGCGGGTCCTTCAACCCTTGAAGGTGGAGCGGGTCCATCAACCCTCGAAGGTGGAGCGGGTCCATCAACCCTCGAAGGTGGAGCGGGTCCTTCAACCCTCGAAGGTGGAGCGGGTCCTTCAACCCTTGAAGGTGGAGCGGGTCCTTCAACCCTCGAAGGTGGAGCGGGTCCTTCAACCCTCGAAGGTGGAGCGGGTCCATCAACCCTCGAAGGTGGAGCGGGTCCTTCAACCCTCGAAGGTGGAGCGGGTCCATCAACCCTCGAAGGTGGAGCGGGTCCTTCAACCCTCGAAGGTGGAGCGGGTCCATCAACCCTCGAAGGTGGAACGGGTCCTGCACTCGAAGGTGGAGCGGGTCCTTCTACCCTGGAAGGTGGAGCGGGTCCATCAACCCTCGAAGGTGGAGCGGGTCCTTCAACCCTCGAAGGTGGAGCGGGTCCTTCAACCCTTGAAGGTGGAGCGGGTCCATCAACCCTCGAAGGTGGAGCGGGTCCATCAACCCTCGAAGGTGGAGCGGGTCCTTCAACCCTCGAAGGTGGAGCGGGTCCTTCAACCCTTGAAGGTGGAGCGGGTCCTTCAACCCTCGAAGGTGGAGCGGGTCCTTCAACCCTCGAAGGTGGAGCGGGTCCATCAACCCTCGAAGGTGGAGCGGGTCCTTCAACCCTCGAAGGTGGAGCGGGTCCATCAACCCTCGAAGGTGGAGCGGGTCCTTCAACCCTCGAAGGTGGAGCGGGTCCATCAACCCTCGAAGGTGGAACGGGTCCTGCACTCGAAGGTGGAGCGGGTCCTTCTACCCTGGAAGGTGGAGCGGGTCCATCAACCCTCGAAGGTGGAGCGGGTCCTTCAACCCTCGAAGGTGGAGCGGGTCCTTCAACCCTTGAAGGTGGAGCGGGTCCATCAACCCTCGAAGGTGGAGCGGGTCCTTCAACCCTTGAAGGTGGAGCGGGTCCATCAACCCTCGAAGGTGGAGCGGGTCCTTCAACCCTCGAAGGTGGAGCGGGTCCATCAACCCTCGAAGGTGGAGCGGGTCCTTCTACCCTGGAAGGTGGAGCGGGTCCATCAACCCTCGAAGGTGGAGCGGGTCCTTCAACCCTCGAAGGTGGAGCGGGTCCTTCAACCCTTGAAGGTGGAGCGGGTCCATCAACCCTCGAAGGTGGAGCGGGTCCTTCAACCCTTGAAGGTGGAGCGGGTCCATCAACCCTCGAAGGTGGAGCGGGTCCATCAACCCTCGAAGGTGGAACGGGTCCTGCACTCGAAGGCGGAGCGGGTCCATCAACCCTCAAAGGTGGAGCGGGTCCTCTAGCCCTCGAAGGTGGAGTGGGTCCTTCGTGGGCTGTTGAGGAGGAGGATAAAGTCTGCAGGAACATTACCAGGGTAGTGTCGCGTCAGTGCGGCTGCTAATGGTTAGTTGCTGTTTACTTTCGCAGTCTTAGAATGCAGCGATTCCTTAAGTTATATACATTCTTCAGCAGAAATAACAAATCCCTAAAACCTATGAAATCTTAATTTCGTGCTGGGAAGAATCTACGAACCTTATTGCTAGGTTTACCGCCCACAGATAGTCTTACCTTATTTACTCTCCAACTGGTGAACTAAGCGGCGGAGACCTTGCATGGTTTCTGTTCGCCGTTATTATAGTTTTTGTAGATCAAATAAGGAAATAAATAAAAAATATTGATAATTATTGATAATAGAAAAAATTGAGAAATCACTCATCACATAGGCCTAGTGTGGATTGGTAACGACTGCAGATGCCGCCGGGACCGACGGCTTAGCGTGCTTTCCGGAGCAGTGTAAAAATATTTCGATAAAATTTTGCATTGCAATGAGGGTTTTCCGGAATGGAGAGCGCCAGGCGGCAGTACTGAGACGAAATTTGTTAAATTATATGTGTCGTCATAGTTAATGGATCTATTTATATACTTATTTAAATAAATTCGCGCCAAAAACTTCATACAAAAGACCTCATGTCACAGTGGCGTCAACAGGTGACGTAAATTTTCCTTAACTAATCGCAATATCGAACCATATTATTAATTGTCATAAGGTTATCACAAAGAAATCTCTGATAAGTTAAAATCTAAAATTTTATTTATTGCTTTGATTACTCATATCGATAACCGATATAAATCAATATGCGAATCTATAAAATACACGGTATCAAATAATACGAATAGAATCGAATTATTCCGAACCTGATCCGAAATAATAAATTACCCTCTAACATAACAATACCAGCTATAAAAGTATAAATACGAAAGCAAGCTTTTTTGAAGTTATACTTCTTTAGGCGCGTTATGAAAAAATGATGAGAGTGAAATTTTAAGATGCGCGCGCATCACTGTAACACAAAAAATTACTTTGTGTTAACCGCACATTAAGAAAATCTACCAACAAATTAGAAATAGAATCTCTATTTAGTGGGTGCTAACGACTGCATTGTGAAGGCCTATCAAAAGTATTTATTAATCTGGAACAACGGAACCAAAGCGCGATTCAGGAGACTACAGCGCCATCTCTTGACCATTGGTGTAGTAGAACCAAAAACCACATCTTTATTTTTTATAATAAAGTAACAGTTGTAGGTATTCATATTTATAATATTTATCCACATGTTTCTAGTTTGTATATTCGGAATACGTGTTTGAGTTTCATACAAGTGCAAATCACATATGTTCTAATAAATTATATTCAGTAGCGATTTTAATTGAATATTTTGATTATTTATTTATTTTTTCAAATTAAAACTGAACTTTATTGACTGTGTCCTTTTCCAGACTTTTTATTAATTTATTGTAATTAATTATTTGCATGCAATTAAAAACTAATTTTAAACGATGCCAAAGAAGGATAACTTCTCACGCGCCTACAAAAGTACACGCACCCATTTTTTATTTGTTTGTTACGCTATCACGCCTAAATCACCGAACGGATTAGGATGCAATTTGGTATGCATATAGTTTATGGCCTGGATTGAGACGAGAGAAAATTGTTAGGTTCCTGGCTTCCTGAGGGATTTTCAAAAAACTAAAGTTAACGCGGACAAAGTCGCGGGCGGCCGCTAGTTAACAAACCGATGAACGATACGTCGGGTCATGATTGGAATATATCATTATACTAGTATTAGACGCATTTGTATGTTTGCAACGATAGAACTTAAAAACTACTGAATGGATTTTGAAAATTCTTTCACTATTTGACAGTTGCATTATTTCTCAGTTACTATGTATATAATAGGCTGTTTAGTGATTATCGCGATATGTAAAATAAATTTCGCGTGTACATCGCTAGTCACATTAATATTATAAAGGCGAAAGTTTGTGAGTGTGTATGTTCGTTACTTCTTCACGTCTAAACGGCTAAAGCGATTTTAATTAAATTTGGCATGGAATCACCTAACACCCTTTATTAACACATAGGCTACTTTTCACTGCGGCAAAATATCCCTAATAAGCCGCGGGTAACACCGCGGGGCACAACTAGTAATTGATAAAATCATATTGTCCAGATGTTATCCGACCTGGGTGCACAAATATGGGAGGGGAAGGGCGAGGAACAGGAACTAGATAGAGCTCTGGTGGTCCACGCCCAAAGCTGGGCCTTCGACCACCAGCGGCGGCTGCGGCTCCTGCTGCCGCCTCACGCCTCCCTCGCGGCGCAGCGGCGGCACCTGCCCGGTGCGTACATACATACAGGGACCGTCGTTATGGTGCAATACTAATAATAATATTAACTCATATATATTTGTTTATCCTTAGGTTTTCACGCACATCACTCGTTGAAAATGAAAATGAAAAAAATCTTTAATGCTTACAAGTTCCATATAAACATGCTGTTGAGTGTTCCCTTTTGAGTATTGTACTTGTATTAGGGGATACTCGCTCTTTCGTCAATTTTTACATTGAACTTTACTATGACAATTATTGACATTAAAATTACTTTCGAAAGAAAAAATAGACAACTTCTAATTTATCCCGCCCCCGTAGCATGAGCACCACGATTCTCATTGTATCACGTGTCATATCGCGTCCGGCTGTCAAACTCCAAAGAATTTGACACCTGAGCGTCCAGGGGGGAAGGCATCATACATTAACTACTTAAAGTATTAAATAAAACTAGTTTTTACGAGTCAGATGTACTTACTGAATTTATTTATTTATTGACATTTCGCATCCATTACTAATATGATTCTATAGAATAATGTCTAATTATAATTCGAATCCTGAAAGGGATTATTTAAGTATAAATTCAGGACATCTTACCTGTAAAAACTAGTTTCATTTACTTATAAATGTTTATACATATAAAAATATACTTATACATATATGGAAATTATTATTTCATCAAAGTAAGCACTGTAAGTTATGGAATGCTAGGGTAACGGATAGAAAACATATATATTTGATTAATATATATATATATAAAGGGCACGTGGGCGTCCGTTTAGTGACGGGTCGTCGTCCATTACAAATCCTCTAAATAATACACGGTTTGCACTGTCTGGGTTTCGTAAAGATAGTCTAATAATTAGCTCAATATGAGTTACTAGCAAACCAATGAACCAAATGTTCACCAAAACCTGATTTAAAAAAAAAATTGAGAACTTCGGAGATTTTGTGTGGTTTCGTTTGAAATTCGTGATTTCTCGAAAACCGGAAGTGCTACGTTACTCAAATCCGGTTTATCAGACTATTCTTAACTTATATATTCTCTTTATAACTTAAATATTCTCTTTATCTATCTCTTACGGTTTGGCCGCTGAAACAGCACCACAGACAGACGGACGGACGGACTTGTCTAATAGATAAGAGATGATTGCTCTGATACAAACGGTTTTAAACGGAACGTATTGAATCGGTAAGGGATTTGAACACGACCTAACAGCTCGACGTGTACACCACTAATGCCCGAAAACTGTCTTTTCACTCGTTTTTATATCCATGACTAAGGTGCAAATGCTCGCATTTATTCATACTTACATTTGCCCCCACCGGAATTCAAACCCGGGACCTTGAAAATCGTGCGGTAATTTTTTTACCGCACGCTCCGTTGTATGGCCCGTATTTTTAAACTTTTGAACAATGCATACAACTGCTTTTTACAATCACAAATTTTGAGCAATTGTGTTGAAAAATATATATGAATAAAACTAGTTTTAACGGATTAATGCACGAACTTTATTTATTTATTGACGTTTCGCAGCCTTTTCAGGTCTGCATCGTCAGAATAATGTCAATGAATAAATAAAGTTCGTGCATTTATCCGTTAAAAACTAGTTTTATTTAATGAGTGATGTGCGTGAAAACCTTAGAAACAAATATATATGAGATTTTTACTAGAAATAATCCTAGAAATAACCGGAATCGAAGAAAACTTTAAAATACACTTCAGACTTATAAATATAGCGCTCTCACTTTGAACATTTACTCGAATCTCACAATGATTACAGACGAAGTTCTGAGCGCGGAGAGTGTCCGCAGTGCCGTGCCTCTGATCCAGCTGCAGCTGTATGTGAACCCGACTCTCCACTACCTCGTGCCGGCGTCTCTGATCACTCTACTCGCCGCGACACATGCCACTATGGGTAAACATCAGCTGTATGTGAACCCGACTCTCCACTACCTCGTGCCGGCGTCTCTGATCACTCTACTCGCCGCGACACATGCCACTATGGGTAAACATCAGCTGTATGTGAACCCGACTCTCCACTACCTCGTGCCGGCGTCTCTGATCACTCTACTCGCCGCGACACATGCCACTATGGGTAAACATCAGCTGTATGTGAACCCGACTCTCCACTACCTCGTGCCGGCGTCTCTGATCACTCTACTCGCCGCGACACATGCCACTATGGGTAAACATCAGCTGTATGTGAACCCGACTCTCCACTACCTCGTGCCGGCGTCTCTGATCACTCTACTCGCCGCGACACATGCCACTATGGGTAAACATCAGCTGTATGTGAACCCGACTCTCCACTACCTCGTGCCGGCGTCTCTGATCACTCTACTCGCCGCGACACATGCCACTATGGGTAAACATCAGCTGTATGTGAACCCGACTCTCCACTACCTCGTGCCGGCGTCTCTGATCACTCTACTCGCCGCGACACATGCCACTATGGGTAAACATCAGCTGTATGTGAACCCGACTCTCCACTACCTCGTGCCGGCGTCTCTGATCACTCTACTCGCCGCGACACATGCCACTATGGGTAAACATCAGCTGTATGTGAACCCGACTCTCCACTACCTCGTGCCGGCGTCTCTGATCACTCTACTCGCCGCGACACATGCCACTATGGGTAAACATCAGCTGTATGTGAACCCGACTCTCCACTACCTCGTGCCGGCGTCTCTGATCACTCTACTCGCCGCGACACATGCCACTATGGGTAAACATCAGCTGTATGTGAACCCGACTCTCCACTACCTCGTGCCGGCGTCTCTGATCACTCTACTCGCCGCGACACATGCCACTATGGGTAAACATCAGCTGTATGTGAACCCGACTCTCCACTACCTCGTGCCGGCGTCTCTGATCACTCTACTCGCCGCGACACATGCCACTATGGGTAAACATCAGCTGTATGTGAACCCGACTCTCCACTACCTCGTGCCGGCGTCTCTGATCACTCTACTCGCCGCGACACATGCCACTATGGGTAAACATCAGCTGTATGTGAACCCGACTCTCCACTACCTCGTGCCGGCGTCTCTGATCACTCTACTCGCCGCGACACATGCCACTATGGGTAAACATCAGCTGTATTTGAACCCGACTCTCCACTACCTCGTGCCGGCGTCTCTGATCACTCTACTCGCCGCGACACATGCCACTATGGGTAAACATCGTATGAGACTATCGCTGCGCGCGTACGTACACGGTGTCCTGATTAGGGATTCCGATTCGAAGACCTAATTGCACGTACACAAAAAGTTCAACGAGGCAGATCAGTAATCTTGTTTTTTCAAACTCGACTCTTTGAACATTGACGTGCATTCAGGTCTCCGAATCGGATTTCCTAATCGGAAAACCGTATTGTGCAATTCAAATAAAAATAGGAAAGCCTATGTCAAATCCTCCTCCATCTGTCAAATGTCGTTTGAAAAAAAAATCTTGGTACCCTTTTTAGCACTAGGCTAATTCTAGAATAAAAGCCAAACATTTGTAAACAAACAATAACAAATATTGATAATTAATATTGTTTGATATTTTTTATTTATTTATTGAGTTTTGGCTATGACTGGTTGATAACCTAAATCGTTAACCAAATGACATAGTGTCAGTTGCGTTCATAAACTCGATTTAAAACTTTATTTTTCATAAAGGATGCATGTTCGTATGTGACCCAGTAATAGTGCATGATTATTCATAACTTCTCCGGCGGTAATGCAGAGATGAGCGGAATTGAAGAGCTAGATTCTGATTTAAGTTTTTTCTCACACAGTCTTAATAAATAAATATTATTAAAAATCGGTGTTTTTTTTTTCTAAATCTTAGTAAATAAATTTTATTAAAAAAATCTGATGTTTTTTCTCAATCAATCTTAGTAAATAAGTTTTATTAAATAAAAACCTTTTTTTGCTCACTCTATTAGGTTTGAATTAACAGCTATGACGTCACATTATGGCGCCCAGTCGGTTCTATTCTTAGTAGAATCGCATTATACATATGCGCCTAGCCTAATCCTAGCATGATTTTTAAATTTACAGCGCGGCCAACTAAATATTGTGTTCCAGACAAGTGTCAGTTCCTTATGGCGACAGGATTAGAGTTTATTTTTGAACCTCTTTTTTACTAGATCGAAATTATTCTTTTGACTCAAGGATCTATCAGGGTCACGTTCGTTGGCTAACCGTACTTTAATAAATTTGGCTTTCGTTCTCTATAGATCGCACGATAAGAAAATACTATTGTCAAATATAATTTTGGATTAGACAATCATGGGAGAATCAGAACCAGTAACTACCTACTTAAATTTTATCTACGATTTATGATGTCTTGTAAATACTGCTTAAACAGTGCACAATGTACTCTAAAAACAAATTTTTATGTGCAAAGAACTTATATAGAATGCAATTAAAAACAAAAAAAATGCAATTAAAGCAATGTGCACTTACCTTGTATGCATAGTTTCACAATATTAATTTAGTACTATTCGGTGACAATAGATGGCGTTATAATAGAACATGCAAATGCTAAATACATTTGTTATTTGTTTAGAAAAAGCTGACTCAATGCTCGACAAATAAATTATTATTTTCCGTGAATTGCAATTTTATGATACTTTTTGTCATTTGTTCACACACAATCGTTGTTTCAGATGAATTGAGTCGACATTACAAACTCCTAAGAACGATGTTGCAGTTCGAGTTTTTCTACGCGGAACAAGATGAACCAGAGGTGAGCTATACCCTTAGCGCAAACCACTATCGAATTCGAATAGTTTGCGAGTCCGAAATGTCATTGTCAAATGTGTACTGATTTTTAGTTTTCGTTACGTACTTTGTGGCGCTGCTGTTCAAGTTTCCATACAAAATTTGACAATGACATTTCGTACTCGCAAACTATTCGAATTCGATAGTAGTTCATGCTAGGGGTAAATACATATATATATATATATATATATATATATATAAAAACAAACATATATATATAAATATATAAAAAAAAGCGTGAAAATTTCTTTCGCTTTAAGATTATGAATTACGATTTGTTTTCTTACCTTTTAATTTTTCAGTTATTTAAATTTTTGTAGGCTAGGTAAGCTGTTATTTTTGTGTGTTAACATAATTTAATTTAAAAATGTGTCAGTTATGTAGTGTGTAAGATTCAAACCTTATTATTTTATTGGAGATTACACTATTGTTCTATGTTTTATTGCTTACGTCTTTGAATATTTAAACGCCTAGATAGGAGTAATTCTAATAAATCACGCAAACGGCACATCTGTGCGTGATTCTAATGTCAGATTGCAGCATGGATATATTTATTATATTTAGTAGCTGTTTTTTTTGCTGTTTCTGTGCAATTAATACGGTATCTAGATTGTCCAGCTATGAAGGAATACTCAGTCCATTCATTCTACGAACTTAGGGTATCACTGAACTGAGATTTATGCCAGGTTTCACTAGCTGCTAACTTCACAAGTGTCATAAAGTTTGAATAATATTAATGAATCGTGTCGTGGTGTAGTGTTTCTCGCGCGTGCTGCAGTACTGCAGGGGGTCCGACGCGGGCCCGACGCCGGGGCCAGGGCCGGGGCGGGGCCACGGATGGGCCCGGGACGTGTTGAGTTGGGCCGCGTGGGGGACGTTATATTCCCTACGGGCCGCCGCCATCACTCTCACGGAGGTAAGTATTAAATAAACTTATTGTCACAATAATATGTTAGAAATATTATGTAAAAATTTTATCTATTGCTTTATATTTACACACGTTATAATCGTCGATCAAAAACACCTCCGTATATATTTAATTAACGATTATCTACAATCTATACTTAAGTATAATAAAAAAAGAGATTTGTATATTTGTAACAAATAAACTCAAAAACTACTGGACTGGTTTTTAAATTATTTTTGTTTGTGTCTGATGCTTGCCTGAACCGAATGGTTTTTGTTTTGTTAAAACAATTTAAAACAATAATATTTGTTATTTTTGATTTGTAACTGTTTTAAGTTATATCGTCCATAACCCGAAAAATCCTCTCCTAATATACAAAACATACAGTTAAAAATATTCTTATCTTCTTCACTCACTTCCTCTAAAACATTTAGGTATCACTTTACTTACTAAGGTGCCTGTTATTGCGTTTGCATGAAAAAAATATTTCCCATACAAACTTCCAACCATCTGCTGGGTGATCGTTAGGAATTTTTTTTATCTAAATCTATTCTGCGGCGTAAGCGTGAAGCGACACACATCCGCATTTATAATATTATTATAAATAGTATGGGATACGGAAACAGCATTTCCTATCTAACATCTATTGAATAAGATAATTCATATATTTTGCAGCAGATATCGTGCGAGCACTCGGTCGGCGTCAAGCTGATACAGCGACACGTAGCGCGCGCAGCATCATCACCTTCACCTCAAGGATCATCATCATCATCACCGATTCCGCCGTACTGCCTGAGTCTGGAGGTAGCGGCCAACTGTCTGCGAGGTCTCGCAGCCGTGGGAGCCCTCACCACCACCAAAACGTAAATATAATAAACTTCCTTATTACGGTTTAATATACATTATACGCTGGCTTGAAGGTCTGACTAGAAAGAGGGAAAGTTGAGGACTAATGCTGCACTCCTTGATTTCGCCTCTTTTTCTTTCGAATAGGGAGATTGGATCATGACCCACCACGCGGGCCCAGTGCGGATTGGCGAGTGTTAACGGCTGCAGATGCAGCCGGGACCGACGGCTTAACGTGCCTTCCGAAGCGCGGAAGAGCTCGGAGAAGGTAAATTTTTGGTCACCCATCCAACGACCGACCACTGCGAAAGTTGCTTAAGTTCAACGATCGCAGCCGAACGCGCTTACCACCCGCGCCATCGAGCTCCACGACGCACAGTATGTTATGAGACCGTAAAATCGGACATTCCTATTTATTTGATGAACTCTTTAGAGCTCATTTATACAAATATGAGAGTAAAACTCCCGTTTGAAAATTCCACGTAGTTTTTGAGATATAAAAATTGAAAAATATTATGTTTTTTCTTTTTTAAAAATGAAAAAATAATCTTAGTCTGTAACTAATAATATTTTGTTGAGAAACGTTACAGTACTTCATAGAACTCTTTAAACTACACGTAATAAGCGTTTTAAGTGCTTCGTAAACGCTTGCAGTTAATTAGAGAAAAAGGTTTAATTTTTTTTCTCAAATATACCACGAAATTTAATACTGATTTTTTTATACAACTAGAATAAATATCAGACTATATCTTGCGATTAAAAAAGTTTGCATATATTATGGTATAATGGAGAAAAAAAATAAAAACAAATATAACAAAAAGTTTTTTTTTATTTAACTGCAAGCATTTACAAAACACTTTTAACGCTTATTACGTGTAGTTTTAAGAGTTCTATGAAGTATTATAACGGGTCTAAATTAAATGTTATTAGTTTACGAGTAAGAATGTTTTTCATTTTTTTAAAAAGAAAAAAATAACTAACTTTTGAATTTTTGTATCTCGAAAACTAAGTGGAATTTTCAAACGAGAGTTTTTCTATCATATTTGCATAAATGAACTCTAAACGATTCATCAAATAAATGAGAATGTCCGATTTTACGGTCTCATAACACACTGTGCGACGGTTAGCGCGTCACATTAAATTATACCAAATAAAAATTTCTTATAATATACATTGAAGTCAGACTTTCGCTTCCTAATATTTGGCATCAACAAATGTTTTTTTACCCGACTGCGCAGTTCAAGCAGCGCGACTCCCAGAGAGGGTATTGTGTTTTTCTATCACACACTATATTTTTCCCCTAAAATAATAGTAAAAAAATGTTCTATACAGAAACGACACGACCACTTACCGTGTGGTGCCTGACGTGATGCGGACATGTCGGACGCTGCTGGACTCCATCATGCCACACTACGATGCAGACTTTAGTTCCAATAATCCCGTATTCATGGAACGACCGGCCAAAAGTAGACTTTAATGCTAATCTGATAGATATAAGACTTTTAAGCTTTATAATTGCAATGTTTAATTAGGCTGCAGTTGTTTGAAACTGTTAGAAAATACCTCCAGGCTGACTCTCCAATCCTATCGAAACGACCACGGTGCCCTCCCACTTTCCAATTTAACAAAATTCAACATTTATAATATATGTTCACCACTCAAATGTTGAAAAAGTAATACAAAACCAATGAAGTTGTTACTTATTTGTAAGTAGCTAATGAATATATATTTTTTTTATCGTAACAAAAGCAATTTCGTAGATTTATATTTCAGTCTATATGATTTTGACTGCGTTTGGTTGAAAGCGCTAATCTGAGGATCTAATGATTCCAATTGAAAAAATATTTCTGTGCTAGATAGCTGATCACATTGTTATATCGATAATAACAATGAGAATACTAATAAGAGCGGAGCATCAATGAAAAATATTGGGAAAACGGGGAAAAATATCCTAACGGTTAAAGTTACACAAAAATCATGTATGAAGAAATTGTTTTCATTCAAAAGTTCTAAAAAAAGTCCTCGACAGCATATTATATCTATCTTTGAAAGTTGACTCACTAAAACCTTTTTTTGGTAAACAAAGTTGTTCTAAAATTATGCATTATCTGCGAAGGTGTTACTGTTAACATGATAAATCACGCAAAAAACTACTGAACGGATTTAGATGAAATTTGGTGGACTTATAGTTTATGACCTGGATTGAGACAGAATACTTTTATCCCGGAAAAGTGCCAGATTGCTGAGGGATTTAAAAAAAACTAAAGTTAACGCGGACGACGCCGCTAGTCTTGAATAATCAACATCTCTTGCAAATGTTATCATTTCAACCCAACTATAATTGTAGCTAGTTCTGTATCGAATAATTTATATAATCTAGAATTAACCACAATCTCATGTGATACTTAGCAAGCCACAATAAAGGCTTTATTACAAGAGCATTGTAACTAAAACCCCTTTAAAATCTTCCAAATCTAATAACTATGTAAGCAGCCACAAAGTTAATTTTCCATTGATAAATTTTAGCCAATTAAATAAGGTCCAATAAGTGTGTCACAATAAGTTAAATTACAAATTGAGTTGTATCTCTGCTACTATTACTGAAAGGCGACGAATGATAATGTGGTACTTAAGCAAATCAATAGTAATAAAATAAGAATTAATCGGTTTGAACATGAAATATTAGATTATTATCATTGTTATCATCAGACAAAAACTCATCGATTTGAAACACCTGGCTGTTTTATCAGAATCGGAACACGATATTTGTCAATTATCGGTTCATCTAAGTACCTACTTAAAATTATCACGTATTATTTCAGCTAATCGCTCTGCGATGTAACTCTTCGAGTATGGAATATTTTTAATTATTTACATGTTATAATAATGTTACAAGTAGTAGTGATACTTGAGTGTCACTATTACTGGACAATAATAATTGCCATATTTATGTATTGCTACCAAATATTTAAAGTTGCCATAACAATTCATATGGAAAATCGCAAAGAGTCGACTCCTGACTCGCATTTTGATTGATAAAAAAATCATAAATTGTAAGATTATAAATAAAACTAGTTTTTTACGTTTTTTTACGTAAAAACTAGTTTTATTTAATGAGTGATGTGCGTGAAAACCTAAGAAACAAATATGTAAGATTATAAATTAAGATATATAACTGACAAACTTAATGATCTGTTATGTACTTAAGTTTGATGCTTTGAAATGACGTCAGTTTATACTCCGTAGCGTGGATGTATATTTTGTGTATAAACCTTCGAGTTTGAATGCTTGACATCTCTTATCTATTAGACAAGTCCGTCCGTCCGTCTGTCTGTGGTGCTGTTTCAGCGGCCAAACCGTAAGAGATAGATAAAGAGAATGTTTAAGTTATAAGTTAAGAATAGTCTGATAAGACTACAAACCGGATTTGAGTAACGTAGCACTTCCGGTTTTCGAGAAATCACGAATTTCAAACGAAACCACACAAATTCTCCGAAGTTCTCAATTAATTAAATACATTTTTTTTAAATCGGGTTTTGGTGAACGTTTGGTTCACTGGTTTGCTAGTATAGTGATAATTATGAACGAAAATTACAATAAGTAGCGTTACCTGATATTGAAACGCCTTGATTCTTGTGTTCACTCTAGTCGTGCTAGTATTAGTTCGATAAAACCAGCATTTGATATGTCGTTGCCATGCTAATACCATTACAATTCTGTATTAATTTATGTTGATATATAATTTATTAAAGTATTAATTATCAGTATGTGTTTTACAAATTATATTAAGTTATGAAATAAAGGTAATAAGGTAGATAAATATTGTATTTAATTTAAAGAAAATTTTACTAGAAAAAAATAACAAAAATATTATGTTTTACCATAGATATTACATTGTTGATACAACAAAATTGCCCTTTCTTTGGTATTATGATGTTAATTTTTGTTTGTTATTATAGTATTCAATTAAATTATTATGCTATAATTTTTTATGTTGTTATAATTATCGTTACGTTTTGTATTTATTGTCTTTGACAATTTGTTTTCAATTAAACAAAATATCTTTTATATTAAGAGACATTGGTTTATTTGTATATATTGCTAAATAATAAGGATTTAATTGAATGATTATGTATGTGTGTATGATAGGTAAAAATGTGTAGGAAATTCAAAGGGCATTAAATTTTTAATTGATAATAAAAATGAAATTCTTCCAGCATAGTAATATGAATGCATTATAGGTATAACAAAAACCCTTATTAATAATCGAGGAGTAAGCTTAGACTAGTTACGCCGTGTTTTGTTCATATCACACAAATGCCGTTTGTCATTCAATAGGGTATTTGACAGTGTTAAAAATAAAGTGCCAATTCTTAGCATCTGTGTTTAGAATGAATATTGGTAGGGGTTTTTACTATTTTTACAATAAAAATATTCATAATTTTACTAAAAACTAACGAAAAAGATAATAGTTTTCTTATTTACATTGTATCGTTTGACGTTTTAATTACAGTCGTGTGACGTCACGCACTAGTAAGACGCTATATTGTAAAGAGAATCGTTTTCGCGGCAACTTGAAAATGGAGTTTTTGATTTGGTTATTTTTACTGAAATACACAACAAAATCATGAATGTCCATTTTTACGGACTCCATAAACATTAGTCAATAACGTGAGATCGTTTTCTAAAACTTGTCAAATACCCTATTAAAAGAGACAAAACACGGAGTAACTAACAACCAAGCTTGTTCTTCGTTTATTAATAAGGGCGAAAATGAGTTTGATATGCCTACAGTAGTTTATTAGCCGCTGTGTCTTTGGTAAGTGTATTTGAAGTCTTTGTATTTGCTACCAATAAACGACTATGGTTTTTACAGAATGTTGAATTTAATTTTTAATGCCCCCTCGAAAACTGATTCAGTCGTCGACAT